TACCTGGGGGCCAGTTGATGCTGGAGCCATTTGAGATTTTATCACTGTCAGATTTGGCACGTGACCAGCTATGGGGAACAGCTACAGGAGGACTGGCTGGTGACTCACTGCTCTGGATTAAATCGTACCGGCCATAGGAGTCGTCGATGGAGGACTTAGCTGGAGGCCCAATGCTCAGACCTCCAGGGATAGCACCTGGGGGGACGGCAGGGAACAAAGAGCCGAGTGAACAGGGGACCCCGAGTCCCTGTGCTGCGCGCTGGGGCCTTGCCCTTTGCAGAGGTGCATGAACTGTCAGACGGTTTGGCCAGCACTTTCTGGGGGAAGTGACTATTTCAGTTAGCCCAAACTTGGCCTTGAAAAACAAACTCTTTAAGAACTGTTTCAGTTTTTCAAGTTGGAATTCTTGATAAATGCATACCCACACCACGGTGAAGCTCTCTAGGGACAGCCTGTGAGTCCCTGTGGTCAGCTCTTGTCCTTGTTGCTGCCTGTGTCCCTTCCCCAGTCCGCTGCCCTCACTATGGAAGGACAAACAGGCATGTGGACTCAGAGGCCTTAACCCCACCCACCCTGGGCGACTGAGCTCTCTCCTGCCAAGGAAAGTGCCCAAATAGCACGTGATGATTTTCTTGTAGAACTAACCATTAGGAAAAATTTTCTTTTTAGAATGCCTTATATCGAGAGAGAATTATACACCCTATTAAATTTCCTTTGCTATTTATGCTATGAGGAAATTAAGAGCTAAATTTAATGCAAGTGAGATCACCTCCTATGGTTACAAGCTTCCCCCCGCCCCGGCCGTGCCTCGCAGCTTGCGGGATCTTAGTTCCCCGACCAGGGACTGAACCCTGGCCCCAGCAGTGAAAGCGCCAAATCCTAACCACTGGACCACCAGGGAATTTCCTGGTTGTTAGCATTTGCTGTTTCTCTTTTCTAGGCATTAGATTTTCTATTGTGTTTTATCATTTTATTGAAAAAATTTTCTTTGAGACAAAGTTTTGGTTGAAGATACAGATACATGAGTGTGCGGCCATGACCTGCATTCTTCGTTGTTCTGGGGCATTTTCAATTACTTCTTGGTTTGTAGGTAAGGTGTGAAAGTTGAGGCTTGGAGAGGTTTGATCATTGACTACCTGGCATCTGACCTACTCTGTAATGAAGTGGAATATATATGTTTAACTCATTGAGGTAACACTGGTTTCTGACATCTAAGTTTCACGGGTATGACACTGCATTTCGACTTTTGTCTACACCACAGGGTGCTCACCACCAAGAGCTTAGTTTATACCCGTCTCCACGTAGTTGACCCCCTTTCCCCATTTCGCTCCCCACCCACCCCTTCCCCTCTGGTTACCACTACTCTAGTTCCCTGTATCCCTGTTTGTTGTGGTTTGGTTTGGTCTCTTGGAATATTTTCTATTCAGCTTTCAGCACTGAATTCTTAGAAGGGAAATGCAGTACAAGTAACGAAACGAGCATAACCAGCGAGTAGGAAAGAAGTGGCCAGACTCTAGGCGCCTCGGCTCGGACGTACCATGCTTGCTGGGGTTCTGGTCGAGAGGAGAGGCAGCACCGGGTAAGTTATCCATTGGGTTGGGATGTGTCCACTGAGGGAGGCGTGACTGCGACTGCGACGGGTCCTTCACTGATAAACCACCAGTCATGTCCATGCTGCTGACATTCATGTTTGGGTTCAGTCCAGCTAAAATTAAAAATGCTCTCAGGATACGTCTGCTCTTCCTCTAAACATTTACTTTCTAAAGCTCTCCTAGAGAATCAATCTAAGTCTTAATTCACAGCCAAATATTTTAAATGTAACTTTTAATGCTGGAGGAAAAAAATCCCTTTTTGCCTTTTTAATAACACACATCTGTAGGAATTTTATTCCTCAATTAGGGGGACGATGGTAACAAATAGTCTTTGATTAAGTAAGACCAATGATTCTCTTCATTTTACTTGCTTTGGTGCCAAACGTGGTCCTGAAGCTTCTCAGTCAGAGCCCACAGAAAAACAGAACAAGTCCAAACAATTAGGAAAGTCTTTTCTGATCTCAGGGCACCTTGTGCAAACTCACCAGATCCAAACCAGTCTCTCAGAGACGTAATCGGTACCCTAAGGTCTCACTGACAGAACAAGCTGGTGGGGAGACCCCAAATCTGCCTTTAGTGAACTCACTTTACAAAAGTCTGCTCTTAAGGAGTTTATGAATTAAACATCAAACTCCCTTAAAGGACTTGAACTATTTCAAAGTGTGGGTGCTGCCATCTGCCCCAGCTGGAATGTGAGCTGATCCTGGGTTTATTTCTTACAGCTAAAAGCAGGCATGCACTGGGGCACGTGACAAGTGCCATCACTGTGCTGGGTTAGTGGAGAGAGATGAGGGGGACGATAGCAAAAAGGCTGAAGTAAAGAGTCCCTGATGGGACACCCGTCATGAGTGGGGTAGGCTGCTTGGCCGGGCAGAATGACCAGTGCAGGTATGACCCAGTGTTTCCAGGCCATTTCTAACCTGCTGTTCCCACACCACATGTCCTGGTACAGAAGCACAGGTAGTGAACTTTTTTGTTCTTAACTTTGAATCAAGAGCTTCAAACTCAAATGCCCATATGGGCCAAGTAGGCAACACAAATGAAGGTGATGCGGGCCTGGTGGGGACAGCGCCCGCCCTGCTACAGGTGCTACCTGTGCAACCAGTGAATGGAACACAGGCCCAAGGCAGCCATTTTCAAGAGAAGCCAGAAGCCACTTTTGGTTACACACACACACACACACACACACACACACACACTGTGCAGACCTAACCAAACGCCCATGGGAGTCCGGCTACCTTCACCCCCACCCACACAGACCCAGTCAGGTGAGGGCACAACCGTTAGGTCGGGCTTCAGACTGGCCTCCAGAGCACCCCAAGTCCCATGGCCGGGCCCCACCCTCCCCGTCTCATTTCTTTCTGTTCCTCCCTCCACTGGCAGCCAGCCTGGCCGGCCCTCGCCGACACCGACGGCCTCTTGTTTCATGCGATGCTGGCTCTGCTCCACTGAACTCTACTCGTTTGAGGTCCATGCTTAAACCCTGCTCTGATTTTTCTTTCACCGCGCAAGGTGACCATGCAGTCTCCCTTCCCTAAGCTCTGCAATAACCACATTGCACTGCCTGTGAAGGCTGGTTTTCGTTTTTATACACCTGGTCTTCCTGGGAAGAAGACAAGCTCGGGAGTCAACACAGCATCTGGAGAAGAGGCTGCACAGGAAGGAAGGCGGACGGGACTTAGAGCTGCTGAGGAAAAGGGGTGAGAACAAGCCAGAGGGGCAATTTTACAAACTAACTTTCTTAAACTTTATTAGCTATCTATTTTTAACACATTTACTTTTAAACTTTAATGTGATTATAAAATATTATCAGAAGTATTTTTCATCAATTTTGAAGATTCAAGGCACTAATTTTTTCACTTGTAGTAAGAAAAAACCTTTATGGGTAAAGACTTGTGTACTTTATTTTCTAAATATAGGTTAAGAGGACAGATGGATACTAGGATACTAGGAAGCTGAAGCTAAACATTTCAGGACAATAGATGGAACTGAATTTTCTTCTAAAACAACTATTGTTAGAAGAACCCTATGAGGTAAGTATTCCCACTTTACAGATGGGGAAATTGAGGCAAAGAGCAGCCAGGCAGCTTAGTTGTGGGGGCAGTGTGGTGGCCTGATTCCTAAGGCAGGTCTTAACTACTAGACTATTCTGCTTCTTCAACACAGAGGAAAGTAATGGGTGCGACAATCATGAAGGGACAGAAGAAACGTAGTTTAGCATTTGTCAGTTTTGTATTAAAGACACACCACACTGGTTACATGTCAAGTAGAGAGTGCTCAAGTCATCAGAACATACCTCTCTTCTCAGAGATGTTGGTAGTATTACACAGAAAGGGACATACATCATTAGCCGAAATTCGCTGTCACTCGACTGGCCTTTGACCCTTTGGATGTGTATTTCTCAGGTAACTAATTCCCTTTGCCCTGTAGCTTCAGACTCTTAACAGCCAACCTGACAAGCCTGAGGCGCTTTCACCCGCTTCTGGATTCTTACAGCAAATTACAGCTGACCCTCGAACAACGCAGGGGTCACAAATCCGGGTATAACTTTACAGCCGGTCCTCTGTACCTGCAAACTCAACCAACCGCAGGTCACGTAGCACCGTTATTTATGGGAAAAAACCCATGTGTAAGTGGACCACGCTGTTTCAGCCCATGTTGTTCACAGGTCAACAGTATTCCCTGTACAGTCACTTTCCTGACACAGCCCTTCTGACGGTCTTCAACGTCGTAACCTGTGTCCCTCCTGGCTGGCCTGTGTGACCTCGAGGGCGGCACCACATCTGCCACTGGCCTGCGGGTTTCAAGTGCTGGGCGGGCACCCTATCGGTTGGGGGTGAGGGTGTGCGTGTTGATCCGGATGATTACACAATCGTGCTCTGCACTATAGGACTTGTGTGGGCACCCATGGCTTTTTAAGAAGTGCCTGGTTCACGGAAATCTGCACACCTTTCCTGTTCCCAGCAGCTCAGGCTGGAGACAGCCAGGGATGGAACAAAGTGCCGATTCAACAGTGGAGAGGAGATCATTCTGGTACTACTTTCAAAGATTTTATACTGAAAGCACTTACGGGCGCAGCAAAATTCTTGCTCTGCGAAGACAGCTAGGGTCCCTCCCTTACCAAGGAGACTTGAGACAGCCTCGCTCTGGTTTTGCCTGGAACTGCATTTCTGCCCGGCTATTTCAGCTCCGCCAGGCGCACGCGGTCGGCGTCGACACGGACTCACCGAGAGGGTAGGGAGCGAAGGTGCTGGGTGAAGACTGCTGCTCTTTGGTCTGCAGGTCAGGGAGGCCGGGGGCCTGGGGGTGCGGGGGGAAGCTGTCCAGGGCCGATTTGCCTGCAGAGGGGTGCAGAGACAGGTGCGGCGGGGGCGGCGGCGGCTTCACGAGCAGGGCCTGGGCCAGCTGGCGCTGGTGCTGCTGGATCTGCTGCTGCAGGTTAGTGATTGTGCGCGCAACCTGCGAGCAGGGACGCGCGGTCAGCGGGTCGGGAGGGCCACCCAGGCCGCCCTCCTCCCCAGCCCAGGTGACGCCGAGGCTTTCAAAACGGGAGGCTGAGCGAGAGAGAAGCCAGTGACAAGTAACAGGCCAGGGGAGGTGACAGCTAGCGACCCGGCTGAGCCACCCAGGGGGCGCCTACTTGCTGCTCCTGTTGTCTCATGGGTCCGGAAACGTTCCGCTGGGCCTGTAGCATCTGCTGCTGGATCTGTAAACGTTGGTACGCCTGTGGACACAAAGAGAAGTGTCCAGTAGATTGTAAGAAAGCCCCAACGAAGGGTTCCACTTCTGTACATTAGTGTAAAAAAAAAAAAAAAAAAAAAAGGCAAAA